AAATAGACCTATAACCCTCAATGAAATAGAAGCCGTTATGAAAACACTCCCAACCAAAAAAAATTCCAAGGCCAGATTTTTTCAGTGCAGATTTTTCCAGAAAGTCAAAGAACAGCTAATACCAATACTCCTCAAAGAGTTCCACATAATAGAATCAGAAGGATCATTACCAAATTCTTTTTACAAGACTACAATTACCTTGGTACCCAAACCACACAAAGACACAACTAAGATAGAGAACTACAGACCAATATTCCTAATAAACTTTGATAAAAACTACTCAATAAAATATTGGAAAATAAAATACAAGAACACATCAGAAAAATCATATACCACGATCATCCCAGGGATGCAGGGATATTCAACATATTAAAATCCATCAATGTAATCCACCATATAGACAATCTGAAAAAGAAAAACCACATGATCATCTCATTAGATGCTGAAAAAGCTTTCAGCAAAATTCAAAACACCTTCACCATAAAGGTCTTGGAGAGATCATGGAAAACATGAACATACCTAAGCATAATAAAGACAATATACAGCAAACTAACAGCCAACATCAAACTAATTGGAGAGAAACTCAAAGAAATTCCTCCAAAATCAGGAGCAAGACAAGATTGTCCAGTCTCTCCATATCTCTTCAATACTGGAAATTTTTGCTAGAGGAATAAGACAAGAAAAGGAGATCAAAGGGATACAAATTGGAAACCAAGAAGTCAAACTTTCACTATTTGCATATGATATAATAGTTTACATATGTGACCCAAAGAATTCTACCAGGGAACTCCTACAGCTGATGAACACTTTCAGTAAAGTGGCAGAATGCACGATAAAAACAAATCAGTAGCCCCACTATACATAGACAATAAAGAGGCCGAGAAAGAAATAAGAGAAGCATTACTCTTTACAATAGCCACAAACAACATAAAATATCTTGGGGTGACTCTAGCAAAACAGGTGAAAGACCTGTATTACCAGAACTTTGAGTCATTAAAGAAAGAAATTAAAAATGCCAGAAAATGCAAGATCTCCCATGCTCTTGGATAGGTAAGATCAACACAGTGAAAATGTCAGTCTTACCAAAAGCAATCTACAGATTCAATGCAATCCCTATCAAAATCCCAGAACAATTCTTCACAGACCTTGAAAGGACAATACTCAACTGTATATGGACAAATGAAAGACCCAGGATAGCCAAAACAAGCTTGTACAATAAAGAGTCTTCAGGAGGCGTCATCTTCCCTGTCATTAATGAAAGCAGCTTGGTATTGGCACAAAAACAGACTGGTCGACAGATGGAATCAAAATCAAGACCCTGATATTAACTCATACAACAATGAACACCTGATTTTTGACAAAGTAGTTAAAATTATACAATGGAAAAAGAAAGCATCTTCAACAAATGCTGCTGGAATAACTAGATATTGACATGTAGAAGACTACAGATACATCCATATCTATCACCATGCAGAAAACTTAAGTCCAAATAGATCAAAGATCTCAACATAAATCCAGCCACTGTGAACCTCTTAGAATAGAAAGTGGGAAGTATCCTTGAACGCACTGGTACAGGAGATCACTTCCTGAACATAACATCAGTAGCACATGCACTGAAATCGACAGTTAATAATTGGGACCTCCTGAAACTGAGAAGTTTCTATAAGGCAAAAGACAGAGTCTTTTCTTTCTTAATCCTTAAACTGTTCTTGAATTCCATACACGCATATGATGTGTCTTGATCAAATATACTACCAAGTCACTCCCCTTCAATTCCTTTCCTACCCCACCCATCATTTTCCCTCCCCAAATCATTTACTAATTTCTGAAACCCATTTAGTCCATATAGTGCTGTGTATAAGTACCTGGGTGGAGGACCATCGCCTAAAGCATTCAGGGGTCTAATCCATGAAAAAGTTGGTTTTTCCTCCCCTAGCAAATATCATTCTTCTCTCTCTTTTATGGTGATCCCTGAGTCTTTTGGTAGTAACATGTTTGAAACCTAGATGAAAACCTACTACTATTTATGCAATAGAATTACATAGTATGAAATAATGCAATATAGTGAAACTTTGTAATTACTTAAGCACACAGCAATTTCCAAAGATATTTTCTTGTGATCTCCTTGCTTAGTTCATACTTATTAATAATTTTTTATTCATTGATAATTTTCTATATTTATTCAATGCATTTTTATCATATTTATCTATCTCCCTCAATTTCTCCTCAGTGCTTCCAACACCTTCTTCCTCCCTAGTTCATTTTCTTCATTTATTTTTTACTGATAGCTCCCAGAGTTTAATTAGTGCTTTCTCTTTCTATTATAAACATTTTTATTTTGAACATGGATGTAGCCCATCTGCTGAGGCATTGCAAAACTACTAGCAACCGAATCCGTGAAGGAGAGTCTCTCTCTGTCTTTCTCTCTCCCTCCCTCCCTCCCTCCTTCACTCTCTCTCTCCCTCCCTCTCTCTTTCTCTCTCTCTCTCTCTCTCTCTCTCTCCCTCTCTCTCTGTCTCTCTCTCTGTCTCTCTCTGTCTCTGCAAATATCCAATGTTTTCTCTAAGGGAGACCCTCTTGAGTATTCACACTGTAATTTTGACTTGATTGATATTGTGCTGGAAAATCCATTGCTAAAGATACCATTTATTGACAATGCAGGACACAGAAATTAACCTTGACTGACTAGGAAACACTTTCCTGACTAGTTAGTTTATATAGTGCTATAAAGTGCTATGTGACATTAGTGGTTTTACTCAGAGCTCGAGTTGAATAGTACAATGCCCACCTTCCTGACAAGGTGTACCCAATGGTGCAATTGTGACATAACAGTATTTGCAAGCTAACCAAATACTTTTTCATTGGCTATGAGCCTTTCTCCACAGTGTTTCATGATTACCACTATAAATGTGCTCAAGTACTCTTGACAAAATTTTATTTATTACTCCAAATTTTCATACACAAACACACATATACTGGAGAGAGAGAGAGAGAGAGAGAGAGAGAGAGAGAGAGAGAGAGAGAGAGAGAGAATGAGAATATTTTGACAATTTCTACCTTCTATTTTCCCTCTCCAGTTCCTCAAGGAACCCTGTTAACACATTTCTTTCCCAACTTCAGTTTCATGTCTACTTTTGCTTATAATCCATTGAGTCACATTAGTGTTGACACGGTACACATGAGAATGACATCATTTAATGGTTCACAGGCAACACACCAGCAGACGTAATACCCAAACAGCACCTATCAACTTACAATTTTCCCTCAGCTAATGATGAGGGAATATTGGCTCAGCTTCAGGAGCCAAGCCATCAGCTACATTGGAATTTTTACTGGTTTGATCTTATATATGTCTAGTTCAGGAAATCACAGCTAGTGTGTGTGTCTGTGTATTATCTGTGCCGTATTTCAAAACATTCTTCCTCACCTTTGCATATTCTTTCTGCTTTCCTTTTCACCAATGCTTCTTAAGTTTTGGAATGGAGAAATTTTTATATGAGTATTTCTGGAGACTGATTCAGTAGAAATGCATGGGTATAAACACTGATATTTAGAAAGCAGTTTGGTCATGTGACTATTTAAAATAACAAAGCAACTAAGCACCTCCTCTAGGGCTTATGGCCTCCCAGGCCATGGCTTTTTGATCAAGTTTATTGTATCAGATATGAAATTACATCCTGTAGAACAGGACTCAATCTAACTAGGAAGAATTCCATTACCCTGATAATGTCATACCACTATTATACTGTTGGGTACATCTTGTCTGGTGTGTCAGTGTTGTGTCATGTATGTTCCAATGCTATTTAAAACCAAGCATATATTTTCTCTCCAAGCAGCATGACTAGCATGTCTAGAACTATGCATGATATCTATCATAGAGGGAATTGTCTATCTAGTCTAAGACTGAATTTGTATGCCTTGAAGCCAAAGTATGCATTGTCTTCAGTAATAGGATCTTATTGTGGACAACCAAGTCTAATGGCAATAGCCTATGTTATTTGGGTTTATCTGGAATCTCCATGATCAGTTTGTGTCTGGCACTGAGATTTTCATTTAATAAAATCTTCTGATAACTGCATTATACACTCATGTAGTGTGCTACTTTTTAAAGTCTTTTTAAGAATTAAATTGTATTGAACTTAAAAATATGATATTTTAATAAGCAGTCCTCAACACACTTCTTTAATTTTGGTTAAACCACCTCATTTCCCTATTTTAAATGCTGGTAGTAATGAATCTAAAGAAAAAAATTATGGTGAACTAGGGTATTTGAATGCAGACAGAAATGTTTAATGTAAGACAATAACTGTGTAACATTTGTGATGCTTAAATGTAAAGAAAAACACACACTTTTAATTCTTAAGATTAGGTAAGAGATAAAACAAATCAATGGAAAATGTGAGACTTGTGCTTGTTAGTTTTGGGTAACTAGACACAAGCTGGGGTCATTTGGGAAGAGGGAATGCCAATTCAGAAATCATCTCTATCAGATTGGCCTGTAGGCAAGTCTATAGGGCATATTCATGATTAATCAATAATGTGAAAAGGCCTATTTCATTGTAGGCAGTGCTATCCCTGAGCAGGTGTGTCTGGGAGTTCTTGCCTGTGTCTCTCAGTGCTGGACTGTGATGGAGATGTATAAGCCAAATCAACATTTTGCTTATTAAGTCATTTTGGGTCAAGGATTCTATCACTGAAATGAAGAAATGGAGTCAGGAGGCTTTGAGCAGATGGAAATACAGAAGCAATGTAAGGAGAATTAAGGGAAAGCAATGTACTTTTCCAAACAACGAGTGCTATATGCTGAGTTAGTACATGGGAAAGCAGTAAAGTGTAATGGAAAGAGGAATATATTCTCATCCTAAATTTGTCCTTAAACCATAAGTGGAAATTGGCAATACCTAGATGGCAACAGCTACTAGCATCTTGGAGAAAGTCCCACATAACTTACTAAACCAGCTAAAACATATTTAAATAAAATTAAGTATTGTTGTACGTACCTGTAGTCTCAGAACAGGTAGAAGGGCCTAGTTTCAGGCCACTTGGGGATTTGTAGAGAGACTGTTTCTAAAACAAACAAGAAACAAAACAATACATGAAAATATTTGAATAATAGACTTCTTTGTGCATCTCTAATACACTTTCTGTGTATCCACATTTTGTTTTTGTACTGGAGATGGAAATAATATTGATGTCGAATACCAATAGAAGGCCATAAGAGTCCTGGAAACTAGAACTGTATCCAAAGCCTAAGAAGTGACAAGATACATTTATATGAGAGTGAACACTTGGACAGTTGTTTGTAATTGTTTGGTTTATACCTCTTCCAAAGCTCTAAATTACTTTATCTAAATCACACTGCACTTCATTGAGGGTTGTAACAGTGGATGTAGAATCTCTCTAAAGGATATAGAAAAAAGATGATGACTATTCAGCAATAAACAAAATTAACCCTAAACACTAAGATAATATTTTGCTTGTTCTATTTTACTATTTTTCAATGTACATACTTTATTTTTATTGTCAGAAAAAATTCTTGTATGAGACAACCTTGAATTTGTTTGAGTCATCACCACACAATGAAATAGCAAAATGTCAAGAAGTACCTGTTTTTAAGGCTCAGAAGTAGCAATGCTACAGAACTCAAAATGAGCAGCATGTCCACAAGGAACAGATGAGGATAAATCAGATGAGAATGTCAAGTTCCTGTAGTGCAAAGAGCACAACAGTCCAGCTTTCCACTTAAGATGGTGATTTTAAATTGCAGCTTTCTTTCTTATTATTTTCAAATGCAAGGGACAGAATAAATAGATCCTCCAAGTTCATCTTAGCTTGGAAAGATAAAATAAAAACTATTCTGACAAAATGTGCATAACTACAATTTTATATTTGTTGCAAATATGAACTCAAAATATGTAAAGCAGGGCTGCCAAATTCAGCAAAATTTAAAATAAGATGAGGAGAGATTCTAAAAAGAAATAAAAACATATTGCTGTAAGTCGTATTGCACAGAGCCAGCAGACAATTTTCTCTTCTAAAATATATAGCCTACTCCAAAAGGCAAAAATTCTCAGTGAATGATAAATATATGTATGTATGTATGTATGCATGTGTGTGTGATAAAATTGATTTGCTTGTACATAGCAGAAATAAACAAAAATGATTGAACATTTTCATACTATTTTCCTCTCCTAACCACCCTTCCCCATTCTTTGCTTTATCCCAGCCCCCAACTCCAACAGGCACTCCCTGGGAATTCACAAGCCACTCCTGCAAAGGAAGTAGATAGGCTAACTGAAGATGGTCACTTCTTTTTCCATTTTTCAAGTCAAATCCACATCTGTTGCCCACTTCTATAACAGAACACCTTCAACAGCCTCCTCCTACCTCATCTCTAGTGAATCCCACAGGTCTTCCCCTCCTAACCTCTTTCCATCCACTCTGTGCGTTATCCCATCACTCAACTCCAGCAGGCATTCTCTGTGAACACATATATACTGTTGAGGACACTAAAAATTTAAGAGACACCACTTAGGAAAACCACTCTATATTTAATAGAACAAACACTGAATTGTATAGATCAGATAGAATTACCATGTCCCAAAAATATTGTTACCCAATAAACATGCCATCATATTAGTTTAACATCGCTTTATTATAATCACCAGTATTTCACTACCAGTTTCAAATCAATTCTAAGGCAATTAAACATTATAGATGTTTTAGTTATTCTCCTAAACAATGGGAGGGTACTCTCATTGTTGAAAATTGTGTATGAATATTTCAAAGTATATCCTTTATATATTCTGAGGAGTTTGACCTTTTGTTCTATACAAGACCATCTCAATTATCTCTACCGTTTTAATACATAGAGCAGCAATTTCTTTTTTTTTCTGTTCTATATTTTTCATTTAAATTAGAAACAATCTTAGTTTACATATCATTCCCAGTTCCCTCTCCCTCCAATCTTTCCATGCCTCCAACCAATCCCCTCCCTCCCCTCCCACTCCCTACTGACTCCCCAGGGAGAGTAAGGAGTGAGGCCTTCCATTTGGGGGTGGGTCCTAGGCTATCTCCCATGTATGTAGGCTGAAAGAGTATCCCTCCATGGAGGAATGGGCTCCCAAAGTCCATTTGAGCACTAGGAATAAATACTTATCCACTGAAGAGACCCCATAGACTGCCCAGGCCTCTAACTGTCACACAAGTTCAGGAAGCCTGGTTCAGTCCTATGCTGGTTCCCTATATATTTGTATTTTAGTGTGTCTGAGAAGAAATGCAGAGAAACCCAGTACAATGTTTGTCTAGACAAACTGACACACAGGATCACACAGTGTTTCCTATATATGCTCACTATAACCTGTTCTATATTCTGAAGACTCCTAGGTTTCTTCAAATAAGCTGAAGGGGAGACTGACTATAGATATTGAGGCAAGTTCTTACTTCAGTCATAATTCCATATTTATAAGTTACATTTGATAGCTTTTACAAAAGATTTTATTTTAATAAATGATTCTACTGACAAAAGAAATTAAAATATATAATACTGGAACAAGGTCAGTATATTGGGTACTAGAGAAGGACAATGGTTATGAGTGGTAATAATTTTGTGCTATAGTATATTTACTAACAATTCAAATAGGTTATCTCATGTAATCCTTGAAAATGAAATACTAAAGAATGTGTGATGTTGTCTTCATTTCACAGATGATGAAATCTAAGATTCTACTTTAAAATGACTAGCTTAAGGCAGAGTTAGTTTGTGGCAAAAACAGAATTAAAACTTGTGCCGGGCGGTGGTGGCTCAAGCCTATAATCCCAGCCCTCGGGAGGCAGAGGCAGGCAGATCTCTGTGAGTTCGAGGCCAAGCTGGACCGACAGCCTCAAAAACAATACAGAGAATCCCTGTATCATAAAACCAAAAAACACTTGCTTATTATAATTGAATAAATTACTTTTCAAAAAACTATTGCCTCTTAACTATCTTTTTATAACCAACTTATTTAGCTTTTCCACTTACCTGTCAAAAAATCTCATCCTTTTTTATTATTTAGTCTTCTCATTTGTAAATTTAATCTATGAAGCTACAAGGTTTCCATTTCATGTATCCATTATATTGGAGTCAACTATTTCAATAAAAATGACTCAGTATGTAAAAAAATAAAATCTGTTCCCATATATTAAACAGCATGGTAATCTCCTAATCACTTTATTCCCTGTAAAATTTAATTAAATAATTAATTTTCCTGTTTAACAGTTTTACACACACACATATACTGTCTTGTGAAATCATTTAGCTTAACTAGTACCACATGTGTTATATATTTCTAGAACACTTATCAATTACTAGTATCTCATAGCTGCATACCTTACCATAAAATTCAGCTGAAGATGAAATATTTCAAGCAAAAATGGTTATATATGTATATAGGCATGTGCATCTCAGATGCATATAATACTAGTTTTTACTCAAATAAAATTTATCTTAATCCGTCATTATACATTAAACAAATATGACAACATTGAAACCTTAAAACATGAATAAATCTGGACCCTCTTCTCAAGAGGTTAGTTTTCTAGGAAACAATATAAGGCAAAATAAACAAATTTATAAAATGTAGCTATGATATTGAAAATGAAGCAAACTTTTTATCAGTGACAAGAGACAGAATATAGGAGAAACTGGGCACGGATTACTAACACACAAATACTCTGAAGGATTTATCTTTTAGTGGAGGAATTGGAAACATTTTTTACCCTTCACCAGGAATGAAAGGCAGAAACTGTCCAAGTCTGGTTCTGTGAAAAAAATGAGAAACATAGTTCTTCAATGGATTCCCAACTATAAATTAATACTAACTTTAATGATGACCAAGGAAAGTGAAAGAAATAAAAGAAATGGTGCTATAAAGAGCAAAACAAAACACAGAAACAAAACAGCCAACACATATGATCAAGAAACCAACCTGCTAATACAGCACATTAGCACTCAAAAACGGAACAAACATTACCTTTAAAGGATTTTAGCAGTGTACATTTCTTGTAAAAAGCAATGGGGTTCACAATGACATTTTTGTCCAAGTATATTACTAGGTTGCCAGACTGAATGCAGTCCCCTTTACATTCTCCTGTCCTGCTGACCTCTTTGTGTGAATTCTTTCCACTTCAAAATATTCATCCCTTTATTTCTTCCCTCCTCTCTCTATCTCACATACACATACATGTACACACAGTCACAAATAATTTACATTCTAAAAATACTAGAAAATATGTTGTTTGCTTTGCTCGCTTTTCTTGATACTAATGTATCAATTCTTAACCATGTAACATTATTTCATTCTTCTTTGTGACTGGTAAATCTACAGTCTGTCTACACACTACATTTCATTAATCCATTAATCTGTGTGGATATGGAGGCTGATTCTCTGACTTGCTACTTTGAATAGTACAACAACAAATATGAAAGAGCTAATATTTTTGCAGGATGCTAATTTAGATTCCTTTGGATAAGTACCCAAGAGTTGTAAAGCTGGGTTTTTTCCATATTTACATATTGTAAGTAGGTATGATTAATCTGCTTATAATTTTCAGTGAACTTTCACATTTACTTCCATACTTGTTGAACTAGTTTACACTCCACCAACAATATTAGGTTTCCTTTTGTTCCTTCCCTCATCCATACCTGTTGCTGTCTTTTTTCCATCCTTTTTGTTACATTATTCATTGATTTAAAAACATGTGCAGTGTATCTATAACATTACTCCCTTTTCCACTGTAACTCCTTCTGGACATCAAAAACTTCTTACCAATTTTATGTCTTCTATTTATTTTTTTTCTTCCACTGAATCCAAAATTAGTGCTACTTAAATGTGTGTGAAAATGAAGCCCTCCACTAGGGATTGTTCATACTGTTGAATAAAACTGAGACTCTCTTACTCAGTAGACATCACCTTCCTGAGTGCGGCTTCATTATAACCACTCTTTAATCCATGCTGAAGCATTCACTAGCTTGATCTTGGGCAGGTCTACAGTAGGCAACTATATGTTGTGAACATGAAACCAAGGCCCTGTCATGTCCAAAAACATTATTTCACAGCAGTTCTGAATTCTTATTCTTAAAATATTTCTTTCCACATTTCTGCCCTGTTTCTTGGGCATTGTGTAGGAAGGGGTGTGCTAAAGATAACTCACTTAGGACTGAACACTCCATAGTCTCTTATTCTCTGCACTTGGACTAGTTGTCAGTCTTTTTATTAAATTGCTATTCACTTCATAAAGAAGCTTCTCTGGTAAGTAAGAGGGGATGCACTAATCTTGTCATATAAGAAAGAATATTTAGAAACAAATTTTATGTTATGTTCATTGAGTAGAATAAGAGTAATAGAATCTGTCCGATTGTCTATTACCTCCAAAGTCATGGGTTCTTGTCAAGGCTTATGGTACCAGACATAGGTTTCATCTTACAGAGAATATTTTTAAGATAGATCAGAAAGCTGTTTCTAAATACCCATAACATTAGTGCCACTAGTCTGTTAATACGTATACTTCGCCAGGCAGGTAATTATTGTAGTTTTCAGAGTTTACAATTGGGTAATTCTGTTGATTTTTCTTTGTCAGCATCCTGAACATAATATTTCAACACCATAACAGCTAGAAATCAAAGAGAAAGCCCTTAATTCAATACCAGGTTAATTTATTCTAGTCCTGTGACCAAAATATATGGCATGTCTGTGTGACTACTGTCAAATGGACCTAGACCAATGTGAATGGTACATTCCTAGACAAGTAGGCCTAGTCTACACAAAAAGAAAACCTGAACAAGCCAGAGAAAGCAATCCAGTAAGCAGCATTCCTGCATGGTCTCTGGTTTAGTTCCTCCTTTGCTTCCCTTAATGATATACTGAAATCTGTAAGCAAAGTAAACCATTTTCCCAAATTACTTTCGGTACTTGTATTTATCATAACAAAGGGAAAACAAAATATGATAGCTATTTTGATCATATTTATTCTGCCTATCCATGAAAATGTGAAGGTCTTTCATTTTCTAGTGTCATCTTCAATTTATTTTCCTTTACAGCGCTAAAATTTTCATCATAGAAGCATTCATCTCTTTCTTAATTCTTATTCCTAGATAGTTTTGGGAAATTGTGACTGGGATCATTTTCCTGATTTCTTTCTAAATGTCTTCATTATTGGAATATAGGGAAACTACTGATTTTGTATGAAGATACAACTTGTATAGTTGAAGATATGTGTATGTTATATGACACGTTGCCAGAATGACTGCTAGTTAACACTGAAAACTGTAAATGATAGAGTGCTTCAGATAGGAAGAAAGCAAATTAAGGAAGGCTCTGTGGATCTGGTCCCAGACACCATGTGGAATGCCAATATACCCACATCATCTGGCACAGATGGCATAGTGAGTGATCCTTAGCAACCTTGAAAGTGACATGGTAAATAGTAACAGTTGTTTTTATGATGAAAACAGGTTCCTTCCATGTATAGACAAGGTAAAGGACTCCTATGAATCTCCTTCATTAAATATGAAATCCTATACTAAAATATAGAGAAAATCAGACTAGAATAAACCTTACATACAAGGACATTACAATCATAACCACATTTCTTTTTGTTTGTTTTTTGGATTTTTGTGATTTTTTTTGCGTTTTTTATTATATATTTAAATTAGAAACAAGCTTGCTTCACATGTCAGTCCCAGGTCCCTCTCCCTCCCCTCCAAGCCCTCTTCCCCTAGTCCCCCCAGCCCCCTATCCCCCCACCCAATCCCTACTCCATGAAGGGCCTTACCCTCCCTGGGGTATCTCTAGAGTCTGTCATTTCGTTCCTGGGAACCATGTTTCTATGAAATATGTGATTTTATACTTCCCGAATTCCATCACGT